AGCCTCAATATAGTATCTAATATATGAAAAGGCACCAGGAATAGTTCCTCGAGCAGCACAATCAGTAACAGCTCATCCAGGCATAGCTCCTATTTGAAACTGATAAAAAGTACAAGCTCCAAATGAGGGTTTCTGGGTTCTTACAGTGTCTCTCTCTTTACTCTCTCAAGATTTCCTGGGTTGGGTTTGGCCTTCAGTGTTTTACTCAGTAAGAAAAATAATACTAAAGTGTCAGTTTATCTGCATGAAACCATACATGAGCTTCGCAGTTCATAAAACCATCAAGGCTGGAAGACACCTTTAATATCATCCAGTTCCATCATTCACTCACCACTACCACTGTAAACCCTAAACCACCCACCAACACATCCAGACTCCTCTTGAGCATCTCCAGGGATGATGATTCCACCACCTCCCAGGGAAACCTATTTCCTGACCACCCTAACAGTGTAAAAAAATTTCCTAACAACTAATCTGGACTTCTGCTGTCTCAACCCAAGGCCATTTCCTCTGGTGCAGAGGGATGATCACTGCCCTGGTCAAATTTGACCAAAAGCAGCTTCAAATGTTACTACAGTTTAGAGTCAGGGAGAAAGGCAATGTGATCCCACATAATTTTCCACATGAATAAGTCAACAGTTAACATATGAACACTAGTAACTCCTTTGTTCTCAATATCATTAGACATAAAATGGCATACTGCAATTTACTGAATGCTACTAGTACACCACTGACATTTTTGAATCTACACTAAGGCAGTTTCCCTGAAGGAAAATCCAAATGTGACACTAAAAGATAAAACATGTTGGAGAACATAGGGTTTTTAACTGCTAGTTAAATTTGATTTTATTGTCACTGTTACTCTCCCACAGAATCAAAGATAAAAGAAGATACAATGCTGCCTTCTGTTTTGAGTGTCTTCCAAAGTTTGAGGGTTTTTTTGGCTGGAGTAGAATATGGAAAACTATAAAAAAATTTTAAAAGTTTAAGTATGCTCAAAATATACACGTGTTTATTTATGTAGGAGGAAAAGATTATTATAAAAGTGGAATTGGGGAAAGGAAGAAATATATATTATTACTTACTTGAAAAATAACCTATAGAAACACAGATGTTTTCCCACATTTCAAAATCTTTTTCTGACATAAGACAATTAGCTCAATTTTCTACATTTTTTACACAGTCAGAAATTCTGAATGTTCTAAACAGAAATCTTGAAACATTTAATTTTAAGCATCTGAAATATTGAAACAATTCATTTTTTAAATTCTCAAACTCAGACAAACATTTTGATATTTCTATGCTACCTTTTAGTAGCATACTCTACATTTAAAAGACATTTTGGATGAATTAAAGCTGGTATTTTTGTCTGCTTGAGCTCCCTCATTACAAAACAAAAGGACTGCAAATTAGCTTTCAGAGCAACTATGGAACCTTTGCACAAAAAAAATTAGATCTTAATAAAATGTAGGCAGCATCTTTACTAGACTGAATGCCAGCAGGAGTAAATCTGCATAATATTTCATATATATATGTGTGTGTGTACAGTATATAATAATATACTATTATTTCATATAGTTTAGCTATTCAAAAAATCAATCAAGAATAATTCACGAGAATTAAATGCATGATTTTGGCAGTTTCATTTGGAATCATTGATACAGCCCTTTCTGTGCAAACACAGAGACTGTGTGGTTGAATATAAAATTCTACAACATATAAAATGCTACAAAAAAGGCATTTAGCATTTCCAAGAAATTCAGCAAAGCAATATCCATTGTGTGCTATGTACATCAGAAACAATAATAACTGCCCTAAAAAAAAGTATGCTTTGTTTTTTCAGCTCCTATTACATGTTGTTTGAAAGAACAATCAGAAGATGGTGCCTAGTCTCTATCTTTGCCAATATTTAATATACACTCCATTCATAAAATTATAGAGAATTCTCTTAAAATTATTTACCAACCTGGTGAAAGATTTTTCCCCACTGCCTTCATTAGGACTGTCTCAGACAGTGCAGCTCTCACCACCTTAAGAACAATCTCCATTAAACTTCCTTTTTCTTTCTATTTTACACTCTGATGCATGTATAACCCTATCTTCCTAGCCTTTGTTTCCTGCTGTTAAATAATTTCATAAACAAGCTCTGCACTCTCTTTATGTTTCTAATACTCTTTCCTTCTTCAGTTGATCTTTGTTGAATACAGATATCTAGATCAGAGCAGCTGAGGTCTCATTAGAGTCCAATGATATGAATATCTTCCCACAAATACAGTCCTAAGAGACAAAGAAAGTGTTGCCTTTTACTACAGCCATGTCATGCAGTAAAGCAGACTAGTCGATATTTATTTTATTCATTTTGCCATATCACTTTATTTGCTTCTGGGGCACTGAAGTACATTGTAACACACTTTTTTAACTGGTATAGCTTGAACTATCACTTTCCTTCAAAGTAATTGTGCTTGGTCAAAGCACAGGGTTCAAGTTCAGAAAGAAGCTGCTGTTGAAATCCACCTACGGATCATTACTGGGCTATGTGTGTGTTTTGTCACACATCACACCAAGCCCTAATAATGTATTGCAGAAAATGTGTCTCCCTTTCTCCTTGGTGGAACCTGTGATAATTCCCCTGAGTCCTGAAACAAGTAACAAGTACACTTATTCCATGGAGCTTTGAAAATTTCTCCTATGGAGCTATAAGGACTCTTATCTGTACAGTGGCTACAATCATGACATTTCTCCTGTGACCCCACCACATCTTAAGCTTGCTATAGCTTATCTCTTTAACCGCTGATGTTTTTTTTTCTTAGATGAATTCCAGGCATCTAAACTCACAACTGCAAAAATACAAAAAACAGTGAGGAAAACTGTCGCATACCTCATAAATTCAAAACCATCATTTACTTAGTTTTTTACTGAGCTGTCCTGGTTTAGGCCAGGACAGAGTTAACTTTTTGCAGTAACCATGAGGTGGCAAAGCCTGGAGCTTTGTGGGTGTGTCTGGGTTATTATATATTCATGTCATTGCTGTGGAGCAGAAATAAGGAATTCTTTGGTTTCCAGGAAGATGTTTATGACAATATAAAATACTGAATATAGAAATAGCATATTTTGATGAATTGTAACATAAGATAAAAATGTACGTTGCTTTCAACTTATCAACAAAGCATTTAAGTCTGTACAAAGAAGGGTCTCTTATAAATCATGTCTTAATTTGTGACAGAATTTAAAATAAATAATACCCAATTAGAGAAGTTATCAATATGTTTGAGTACATGAGAGCAATTGTAAATCAGCACTTAAAAATGCATATGGAAAATGTAAGTTTGGTTAGTCTGTTTTAAAAAAATCCAGCTGAAGAGTGGACCAATTGATACAACCCACCATACTACACAGGATGGCAACAATATTCTGTAGCTGTGGGATAAAAAGGGAGATGAAAACATAAGATTTTTTAGGTAAGAACATAATTTTTTTCCCCAAATTGTCTTGTCCTGCTAAGCAAGAGAAAAATTAAGCTTCTGTAATAATCTTCCATAAACTTAGTGCTAAATTGACTATATTATAAGATATAAAACAACTGTATAGTCAAGATGGATAAGATGAATTTAGCTAACAATATACCTAACAGCTCTTTGAAACATTGGAACCAAATATGGTATGATATAATAGGCATCACAATGAGTTTGGGGTTTTGGAGTTTTTTTCCTGAAATATCACTATTTTCAAGTACTGTGATGAAAAAAATGGGCTTCATTTAAAAGACCCTCTTTACTTCCATTAGGTAAAACAATTTTTCTGTAGCATTTTTGAGTGACTGTCAGAGAAACACCCAATTGAAGCAAGTATTTATTAAGTCTTTCTTAATTATAGCCCAATCCAGTGCTCCCCCTAATTATCCTATCAATTCCAAGCAGGTGAACATCTCTATAATTTTTATGACTGTGAAGAATTAAGAACACTGGTCAGACTAAAGGCTAATTATTTTCACTTTAAAAAGGGGATGAAATGGAAACTATTTGGGGTAGCTTTGCATAGCTTTTGCAATTCCGTAAGGTTGATCTTATGGTGATACCCGAATTCCAGTGATTTGTGATGAAAGTAATCAAAGTGGAGCAAGAGATACCTAGCCAAGCTATTTTTTTCCTCTTCAATCACAGCAGCTTCAAACTGGCAATTGTTTCCAGAGATTAAATGCCATTATATGTACCTAAGATATTTAAAGTCACATATCTAAGTCCTATCATTGAGACCAGCAGGACAACATGGTGAAGAAGCAGTTCTGAATTTCAGTGTCTGAGGACTTCTGCTTCCTGTGTTCACCATTTGCTCCCACTTTCATACAGTAAAAGTCATCTGAAGCCACACAGAGGGTAGCAGTAGCAAATCACCTATAAACAACCTAACACTTAGGAAAGATGACTAATTACTGTACACAAAAATGCCTACAGCACACAGCACAGAATCTTATTGCAGACATGCAAAGATGCTTATAGGGAGGATCAAACTGAAGATCCTCCCCAAAGCTTGACAAATCATATCTGTTCTCTGTATTGCAGATTTTTAAGTCCATGCACCCTGTGATGGGTGAAACAGAGTGACTGCTTTTACCTGATAAACATAATAGGATTTCTTCTTACATATCCCAAAAATCGTCTGCTAAGAGAAAACTAAAAGTCCCAAATTCCAGTGCACTGTCAGAGCCTAGAGCTGCTCTGTGCTGACCCTGAGTCATGCCTAGATTCTTTTCTAGTCTAAGTGCTCAGAACTACACAAATCAGAATATATCAAAATATAGTAATAGTAATAATAATATTTAAAAATACATGAAGTGAGGGGAAAATTAATTTTAAAATGCCACTTTAGAAAATTCTACAGATTACAGCCTGCGTACAAATTCTCAGAGATACATAGCTTTGCATTAGAACTCACATGCTCTTTTTAAAATAAATCAATTCACTTTATTTAAAAGCAAATTTAGTCAGAGATTAAATACATACCCTCTGCTTCTCAGGGTCAACATATCGAATGCCAAAATAGTCTTTTTCCAGCAAGCTGTAATAGTTGCAGATGTGATCTATAAGAAACTGACCTTTGGTTTCCCTCTGAAAAAAGATAAAGAAATTATACATTACACTGAGTATTCTGAATTTGCTGTCTACAAATCTATTCAAAGTGTCAAGGGAAATGGCACACGAAATTTGTTGCTATTCAGATGAGGACAAGGATTTAACCATTTGTCTTCTCTAAAAGATTCAAGAGATTAATGATTAATATCCTCCCTGCACATTCACAGATTGATTAAGAAAATATCATTACTACTCTACCTCAAGAAAAAGCATGCTGCTCTAACGGCTACAAACTTATAAGACTAATATACTACTAGCAATCATATTTCCGAGGATGCTATAAAGGCATAACAGATACTCACTTACATATAGAATTTCAAAACACTCTGTGGTTTTTTTATGGCCCAAATTTGAAAGCAGATCTTAATGTGAGTATTCTACTCGATCTTTACCCAGTGCTCACAGCAAGAGAGATCTGATCCTTAATTCCCTCAATTAAGTCAGAGCAATACAAAGAATGCCCAAATGACTGAGAGAGGTTTTCATCTTTGCTTTGTCACTGGGTAACTATGGCCTTATCAAATCTTACTGTTACACATGATATTTAGCAAACAATCTCTTTCTTTCTTTCTGTTTCCCCTACTCTTATCTGTCTCCACCTTCTATCTCCTATAAATCTAAGTCCTGTACTCTTCCATATGCTCTTATTTGCCTGGAGATATCTTTGCCATGTCTGCATATGGTGCCATAATTTGTTTTCCTATTTTTAAACAGCCATTGTCAAAGGATGTTAACACAATTTATCTGTTCAGCTTGTGCTCATGCAACCTCATGCTTTGCACTCTGCATTGTTATCTTTTCCCATGTAACCTAGATGCAACAGGTTTCCTTCTGTAATTGTTTTCTTCCAGCCTCAAGACATTTAAAATCAACTTGTTTACTGTTAAGAGTGGTTAACACATTCACTGACATCTTTTTGTGCTGTACCCAGTTACAAGTATGGGCATCCTGGAGACAACTTAGAGAACACTTTCCTCAAAAGGAAAAGTCCCATCAAAGACTGAAAAATACAAAAGAAAAACCCACTCTCCCTGTGGGTGACAGAAAAAAGGTCTACACTTATGCAGCTTTCTAATTTAAAATCTTCTAAGTGTCTGGAAAGTTCTGTGACTATGAGACCATCAAAATATTGACAAAATTTCATGGTGACATTTCATTACAAAGGCAGTAGGAAAAATTATAAACACAATTGTGACATTTATGTGCAGTTTTAAATGAATCTTCAGCAAATTAAATAGGACTGGGAAATAACAGCTATTAGATGACTCAGGTATAATTCAAACATAAAAACAGATTCTACCAGCAGCAGTGGACAAACGAAATCCATTTTATAAAACACTGGAAAGGAGGAAACCAGACAGCCCATATTTTCATATGAAAACATAAGAGGGTGTTACTGGAAGAACAGTCAGCAATAATACAATCTCCTACAACAAACTACTAGGGGTTCACATTCTAATCTATGAATTTTAAAAGTCCTTTGCTTTAGTCACCTAAATAATCACTAATTTCTGAGTTCCTGAAGAAACTGATAAAAGGGTACAGCACATATAATGTTTATAAATCCGGTGACAACGTTCTGTTTCTAAAAGGAATTGATGCCCTGCTTTTCTTCCTTGGAAAATAAATGATGGAAACAAACTAAACAAAAAAGAGCAAAAAGCCTCCAAGCTAGATTCATGCTCCAGCAAACTTCAAGCCTTCCATCGATGAATAGAAGGGACTAGATAATAACTTCACCCTTGCTTAGTATACTCCCTTCAGTTCATTACATTTTTTTAAATATTCAAGATGCTCAAAAGTGGGCTAATGCAGCACGTGCATAATGTAGTCCTCATATGAAATTGTAAATGTTCCATCATTAAAGCATTCTAGACACCTGAAATTTTTGAAAGAAAACCCAGATCTTAATTGATACATAGAGGGAAATGTGGGACACAGCACATCAAGTCCTAATTCGTAATAGATTGTATGACAAGAAGGATGGGCAATGGTGGTTAATTCTATTTTCTGCAAACAGCATACATAAACATTTCCTACATTTGTCTAACAATGCTTCTAATTCTTCTGAGCTTTAGAAGGTAACAATCTTTTTCTATTTATTACACATTACTACATATTTCCATGTTACAAAAGAATATATTAAACCCAAATTTCATTCTGATTTGTGAAAAAATCTGGATAACATAAATTAAGAACAGTTAGTCATCCACAGCAGAGCAGAGGAATGGATTTGGGTCAGAGAATAATGAATATAAAATGCTGTCTGAAATTTCAGACAGTTGCCATACAGCTTTCCCATTAAGTGATCTTTGAAAAAAATGAAAACAAAACAAAACAAAACAAAAAAAAAAAAAAAAAAACAAACCCAAACAAAAAAAATAATCCTTAAACCTTCTATACAGAAAAAGTACTTTGCAGCAACTCAGAAAAATAATTTTATATTACAGTTTAGAATGTTAGTCAGAACATGAAAAAATTACATAATAAAGAAAGCCATTATTTCAGACACCACTGAAGAATTTCAGCCAGAAACAACAGGAATCTGAAAGTAAAAATCAAGTAATACATCAAAAATTTTCCCAGCTCAAATATTTGAGAATTATACCACAGTTCACTTTGAAGTCATCAATTATTGTCAATTAAAGAAGATACATGCAGGCAGAAACAAGAGTCAGAAAAGTCTATAAGTGAGAAATGTGAAATATTCTGAATTGTAATCAATACATTGTTTTCAATGAAAGAATACCATTAAATAAGCCTTTTTTTTTCTAAGTCTATTAATTCAAATATATCTGTCTATCTCAAATGAGAAATATTTTACTTCAGATTTTTGTAACCCATGTAATGGCTTTAAACAAAGTCCTATAACACTACAGATATTCCACACTCTCAAAACAAAAAATTGGTGATTTCTATAAATAATTTGAGGAATGACTTTCTGATTTATTTAGATAAATAGGCACAGACAAGACGAGCATGTTTTTCCCAAGGCTGTATTTGTATATCTGACCTTAATACCACTAAAAGCCCACAACAAACCCCAACACATATGCAATGGATATAATTCCATGTAAATGACAAAATCCCTGAACACACAAGGTCAGTTTGCAAATAACTGTTAAGCACTGCTTTTTAAGCTGGATCAAAAGTTTTTGTTTCTATTGAAACAAATAGGTATCAAATTAAACTTGCAGCTGTAGCAAAAGAATTAAGCAAAACAGTGGATGTTATCTACTCCAAGAGGACATGAAAACATGATCACACAGACTCTTCCATCGATGGATCACAGGGCAACCTGAGTTTGTTCCTTAGCTCTAGGAACTGAGTAATAAACTGGAGAAATGCTTCATTTTCTGTACCAGATACTCTTATTAGAGCCTCCATTTCTGCAACTCTGCAAATTTAACAGAGTAACTTAATTCCTTGGTAATTTCTCTGGTATATGGAAACTAATACAAACAACAATCTTTGTCAGTCTTGAGCAGTTTAATACATTATTTCCATCTCGTGCTTGCTTTAGGGATTTTTTATTTAAACTATCTGATGCAACTTAAAAAACAAGACAGAGTATAACTTGTTCTACCAATTTAACAATTCTCCAATGACGCAAAATAAGACGACAAAACCTTTGTGACGGCTTCACAAATCTGAAAGTGAGAGGAAAACTACTTACAGCAGTTTAAGATCTTACATTCAGTGAAATGTTTTCCCTATTTGCATTCGCTTCACTGTGGAGTTCTGCGTCTATTTATCTGAATGTCGTCACAAGGAAGAGCAAGAATCACAAGCAGATTAAACACAGTGTTTCTGCTCTGTTATCTAACCACTGAAGTCCTGCCAGCTATGCTTATCTCTGTCAGAAAGCCACTGGCACTACTAAGAAGTGTGCAGAGTCATAAACACAGTATTTATTTGTACTGAGGATTTCAATCCTCATCCCATAAGTGTCTTTACTTGTGTGAACAGCTTCCAACAGTGACCCTGTGTGTAAAGCTTGTCACACACTTAAGTGCTTACTTAAGCATAAAGCCACGCACAAAAACCAAAACAAAACAAAACAAAAAATCCCAAAGCAACCTAAAAACCATCAACACAACAAACAAAGAACAGTGAAACCAACATTTCTGTCTAAATTAATGGAAAGCCAGGCTCTCTGGCAAGGCAAGTATACAGTTTGATTTTGTATGCTTATTTCTTTGGTGCACAACATATTTTGAAGTTCTATGGATGTAAAAGAATTAAATACCTTTCTTGAAGAACAATCATGATAGAACCATAGAATGAAAACTAAGCCAGTCAGGAAAAAAAAAAGCATCTTTACCCATTAAAAACTGAAAAAGATAGTTCTGTTGAAAATGTGTAGCAATAATTATAAAAAGCAATAGAGCTAAACTGCATCTTTGACTCATCTCACATTTTTTACTTTTCTTTGGAAATCCTTTACCAGTGATAAGATCATATTTCTTCTAGGCTTTTCATGAGAGAAATAACTTGAATCCCAACAGGCAGAAGTCTTCCATTGCATTGCCATTAGCTCTTGTACACCAAAATATGGCTGTGAAAGGATATCTAGGAGCAATTCTCTGCTCATGTCCATCTGGATACAGATATCATCATATTTGCATTTGTCTCCAGTGGCACAGCAAAAAAGTTCACTAAGCATCACTGGACTGGGATGTGCCCTGGAATGGGACTCATTTAATATTAACCCTTTGAAGCTGAATAGGGAGGAGAACTAAGGGCACAGAGAAGGAAGACAACTAGGCATGCCCAAATTTCTCAGTGTCTTCTGGATCAACTTTTAAGTCTTTCCTGAATAACAGAATCTGGGACAGAACCCTCATTCTGTAGCAACCAAAGTCAGTGGGGTGGAACAGAATCAACTCCAACATGGCAAAACTGGGCCAGTCCTAACTCTGACAATCTCCAACACCCTCTGCAAATTTCTTACGGCTCTTTGGATTTATGGATTC